TAAATTCACGATCTATCCAAGAACTTCCACAAAAATCGCCAGCACGCTCGGTAATTTCACCCAATTGATTATTATTATGTAATTTACGAGTCGTAAGATCTACAGTCCCACCACCTGCATCTATAATACAAAATATTGCTATGTACAATATATCACGCCAAGAAGTTGTAAGTAATAGAACATACATTAAACGTAACATATATAATCATAAGAATATATGATATTCACTTTCATCGATTCTACTGTCATTATTGATAATAAAAGCCGGTTCTTTAAGACAATGCTTCATACAATAAATAGCAGCAGCTTCGGCTATGTTAAAAAAAATTTTTTTTTTTAGTTCAAACATTGATATAAGAAAAATATATATGATAGTATTGAAAACATACGTTCAGTGGTAAATTGCAATCTTTCAGAAGCAAGTTCACCAATTAAACCAGCATTAAATGCACATTCACGCATTATACTACGTGATCTATGAGAATACTCGGCAGGAATGGTCATGACGAGTAAAACATTTTTAAAAAATTCAATGCTTGGCCAAGCAGTTGTAATTGTTTCTTTTATCAACTTTGAAAATAAGTTTTATAAAAATTTAATCACTATAATTTATTATTACAAAATTATAATTACAAATCAGTAAATGACAAACCTTTCCTATTTCCCGAAGATAATCGGTGATCGCTTTCTTATAATCCACTGGAAGTTTGGGTTTCATATCATTAAACAGATTACCAAGATGAAGTTTAAATAATTCTACAGGTTTAAAATCACATTGAACACCTTTCCTTCGTTTAGGTCGCTTTGCAAGTGCAGGATAACCCCAAGACTCAACTTGATTAAATTCTTCGTCATATTGTAACACAGTATTGGTTTTGAGATGACCTATCTCTCCCGGCCATGTTTCATTTGTACAAAGCTGTTCATTTTCATGAGTATGAATAAATGCGAATCCCTAGTAATTATAGAATGTCTGATATAAGTATGAATAAATAATATAGAAATGAAGATGAAGATTTATGTTTTATTTTCATACAGAATATGTAGTTCCAAAATCTAAATGTGTAATTATAAATAGTTAGTCATACAGAATTTTTTTGTAACCTTAAGCATCTCCTCAATGGACTCATTAAAAAAATTTGATTTGTCCGTCTGATCAGACTGTCAATCATATCATAACCCATTGAGAGAGGTGTTTGAGATCGCTCAAAGTCATCAGAGCGTAATATAAAGTTCAGTACGTACCTAATCCTACGATAACACGAATGTCATCACTTTTATACATCATATTATCAATATTATCAAAAATAAAATAATAAATAACAATAGAAATAATTATAAAATAATTAAGTATTATTAGTACGTATCTAAAGCAGTTATATCGATATTTGATAAATTGTTGAAAATTTGGTCTTATATAGATATATTCCACATCGGAAAAGTAAAGTTCATAAATATTTGTTTATAGAATCAATTTAACTTTATTTAGTATAGATTAAGATTATACTAGTTTGTAAGTAACGGTAACGTGCATATTTTCAAATGTGATAGTAAATCTGAGACAAAGGCAATTCAAACTTTAGTAACTATAGAAAAATCCTAAGGTGATACTTTTGTATTCCCCAAAATTAATATCACTTGTTCCGTATAGTTTCGGAAAATTTAATCCGATAGCGCATATTATTTTTATACATCGATATCAGAGAGCAATTCGGGATATAGCGAACTTTTTCTCAAATTTAAAGCATAATAAAATTACTCCGTTATAAGGCAAATTTTTGCAATTTACAATAAGAACTGTTCTGGTTCGCTAGAGTTTACTATCAAGATGTGGATCGGCATGGCATAAATATACTTTTGGCCTTCACAAAGATAATCAATTTCAATTTATACCTTATAAATATTAAGGACAATGGATAGTGATCGAATTAGACTTCAATACTAGAAATCTAAGCCACCTTTTTTAGAAATAGTGATATAAAGAGGGCGACGCTATACGTACTAAGAAATGACTTGTATAAATTTCGTGCAGTTAGGGAGGTGTCATATATCAGCTGATATCGTAGGGGGGGAGGGTGGTAGACAAAATCTCAGGTTTAAATATATGCATATAGCCAATCAGAAAGGCCAGGAAGGGGGGAGGGGAGTGGGCTCTATAGTAAATTCATCTCAGCTAATATCTGACAGGGCCCTTAGCTCTTAATAAAATTATATTTTAAATACGTAGCTTGTAATATTTATGTACAGCAAGAGCTTTCTGATTTGTTCATTATCAGTTAATATGCTCTCAAATTATACGAATTACAAAATCGCCATTATATAATTGCTATAACATTTGTTAGTTCATCCAAATAGGTTTATGTGTGGTTTAACAAGTTTCTGGTCTAAGTTTAAAAATCAAATTTTTTGTAAGCCATGTAATAACGATAAAGTCGACTTAATAAATTCTATTTAAAAAAATACACTTGGCGCTGTCATGCCGCAAAGGGAAAACCTGGAATTGTAAGTTTTCTGAAATTTCATTTTCAGAAACGGCTTATAACGATAAGGATTGATATTCTGTTTCTAAAAGTGAAATTTCCGAAAATCAAGAATTCCTTTGCGACATTCATATATACTAATAAGTGTTATAAAATATTAATTCTGATACCCCCAAAAAAGGAACTGTTCCAGACTTCTAAATAATTATAAAAAAAAAAGAGTAATAAAAAACAAAGTAAAATAAGATTACTTATCTCGAATTATAAAATTATTTGTAATTACTTCTATAAAGTGTAATATTAAAGATCCTGATTAGTGATTATAGATTTCTAACATCAATAATGTCGCTGGGAGAGTGAAGAAGTCTCCGCAATGAGCACCCAATTCAGCTTAAATAGCTTATGATAAAGAATCTCGTAAGCATAGATAAGTATATGAGATGTTTTAAATATAAAAATTAAGGATTATAAATAATTCTTTCAACGAATGGTTTTATTATTAATGAATAATTCTTAAGAAAACATTTACGTGTCAATATTTCTCTATGACCTCAACAATATTAAACCTACGAGATATCCAAAATTAGTTTCGATTTTCAGAAACTTTGAACCTATGAGCACATGACAAGCGATGAGCAAAAATCGGTTCTGATGTAAATAATAAAGAGACCTTATTTGTGATCGAAAAAATTTCTTAGCTAATATTGAAATCTGACAAAATACTTAATTGCTTCACAAAATATATATAAATTGAAAGGATTTTTTAAGTTTTGGTTAAGGTTTAATTTTAGGTAGACTTCGAATTTCGAATAAATTTCGGAAAGTAAAATGCGAAACCAAAAACTTTCGTTTTAGCAAAAGATTTTGGGTCAATACACAGTATAATAATCACAATCAAAGACAAGTTTAATTGAAAGTTGAATTGATTTCTTTGTTTTGTTAGCACATTTACTTTCTTTTTTCTGGCGTCTGCGTATTTTCTTTAGTATTTATGCGAGTCATCAAACTTGTAAGATTGCGAAAATCTTTTAAACCCCTCCCCCCAGGAATTAAGGGCATGCGTGTAATTATGTTGAATGAATTTGGGTTGCGCCACTTATCACTAATACTCAAACGAACACACAAATCTGCTCTATTGCCTCACCATTATCTTTATTGGTAATAATTTACATATTTAATTTACTTCGTACAAAATGTAATAATTTAAAGTAAAACTAAAAATGAAAATTAATTTACATATTTAATTTACTTCGTAACAACAACTTTTAATACAGTACAAAATGTAATAATTTAAAGTAAAACTAAACTACAAATTTAATAAAATATTCTACATTCTGCATAATAACAAATTAATGAAAAGTTGTGATTAAAATATATTTTTTATCAGTAGCATTACAATTCTAATTACCTCCAAAAATTATTATGACTCTGCTACGTGCACTGTTGCAGGCACAAGTATTTTTTGCTTATTTTCATCATCCAAATCAATACCTATCAACGGGAACGAGCAAATCTGCACTACACCCTGACAATCACGATCGAATGTTCCTTCCATCAAAATTGAATTAACTTGATCTTTATATTTAAACCAACGTGGTGGATCAACTTCAGGTTCTTGAACTTTTAATCGGAAAAAGAAAATTCTAATAACGTCACGAATAATATTTGCTGCCATACTATTCAATTTTGTTACTTTGTTAGGATCATTTACTGTTCTAAAATTATTCATCTTTTCAATAAGTCGTTGTTGAATTTCATCAATGAATGGATGTTCAATATTTATATTTTCCGATAAAACTTTGGAAAATCCGCGATTTCCGAGAACTGCATAGATTTGTTGGCGGAGTTTCGTAGGAAATGCTCTGGTAACTTCGTCATCACCTTCCCGGAAATTAGCAAATTCTTTCATCATATTTAATAAATTGGTTGTTCCAGATACAATACGAGTTTCAAGTAATTTATCCTTTGTATTTTCATCTTCATTTTCTGATAATTGAGAATATTCTTGGGTTATCGTTTCGAGAACAAATCGTTGAAGTGCAGCTTTGAGAAGTGACTTAAAACTTTCATCATCAGTGAATTCGGTACATCCATATTGTTGCAAAAGATTATTTGCCTCTGTCTTATTAATTTCTATACCAGGTTTAACTATGCAGAAATCTTTTAGACTTTTTTGCAAAGATGTAATGTCGTCTCTAAGTTGAACCGAATTGTTGCGATCATCGTCATTAAGTCGAAAGTTTGTTGCTTTACCCAAAGCGGATTGATGCTTTGATGCCTCATTTTTCAAATCTTCAATAGTTTTAAGAAGATTTATTATCTCTTTATCCTTTTCTTCGAGTTTTTGCTTTTGGTCTTGTTCTTCAATTTCCAGAGAATTGACCTTATTTTTCAAATCTTCGATAGTTTTATTAAGATCTGTTATTTCCTTATCCTTTGCTTCGAGTTTTTGACCTTTTTCTTCACCATTCAGAAGATTGACCTTATTTTTCAGATCTTCGACAGTTTTACTAAGATTTGATATTTCTTTATCCTTTGCTTCGAGCTTAGCTTCGAGCTTTTGTTTTTGTTCATCAATATCCGGAAAATTGACTTTATTTTTCAAATCTTCGATAGTTTTATGAAGATTTGATATTTCATCCTTTGCTTCAAGTTTTTGTTTTTGTCCTTCAATATCCTGAATATTAACTTTCTTTTTCAAATCTTCGACAGTTTTACGAAGATTTGATATTTCTTTATCCTTTGCTTCGAGTTTTTGTTCATGTTCCTTGACGTCCTCACTTAAAAAGTTGATAGTTTGAAGATTAGTATTTATTTCATTTTCCTTCTCTTCGAGTTTTTGTTGTTGATCTTTAAATTTGTCATGAAATGTTTCTTGTTCATTTTTTAATCTTTCTAATTCCTCATTTAATTTTTGATTTTTTTCTTTTATAATTACTAATAACGAATTATCGGTTAAAGATTTCTGTTGACCCATTTGATTTATTTGTTCGTTTGCACGATCTTCGAGATTTGGATAGATTGATTTTGTGCTTCCTGTTGATGTGTCAAGGACCAGACATTCTTGCTTAGACTCATATTCCTTAACATAAGGTTGTGAATATACTAACAATAATCAAGAACTTTCATTAGATTATTTATTATTTTATTTTATTTATTTTTTCGACATTTTTTATAAAGAATTTTTACCATTTGATTCATTTTGTTGAGAATCGTTTTTTTTCGAGCCAAATTTAAACAAGTCTTGCCAAACCATATAGATATTACGAAAGTCTTGAATATTCGTTATACATATTTTTTTTTTTTTTTCTGGGCAGTTTGTGCTACCATTCATTGCTAAAACTTTGTGTCTGGGAAAATTACACAAAACTAGCAAATCCTGAACAAATTTTATTATATTGCAGGGTTTTTTTTGTTTTGGTTATATTTAATATTTAAATGAATTACTTAATCTGATGCGGAGTAAAAAACCCGATACGTATAAATTCATTAGAATAAATATAGTAATTCTACAATAACAAAGAGTTCTAATTTAGAATTATAGATTTCCATGATTGCTAACGCTAATACGTAATGATAGTGGTAGGCTATGTTTTTATATTTATTATTAATGTGAGACAAATCAAAGTCACAGGTGTTAATAGCAAACATATCATATAAAATACATATTGCTGCATATAAAACAAAAGTGAAAGATAGGAATGACAAACGGTTTGAGGATAAAACAAAAGTGATGGATAGGAATGACAAGTGGTTGCTGAAGATACATATATAGTTGTCATTCGCCACTCAATTCTTACAAGATACTTGAGAAATTCCGATTTATCAAATATCAGGAACTTTGTAAAAGATGCTGAAACCATTAGTCACGATGCGTTTAGAACCATTATAATGCTTACCATCACTTCTGTCATCTATAGGCAAGAGATTTATTTTATAATTAATGTGTTTCTGAATTAAATATAGAGTCTTTGCTTTGAAAATAACTTTATGGAACATCAACATTGTCACCTATTACAGGTAAAGACATTAATTTTTAATAAAGTCTACTGTTCCATTAAATTGCATATCAAAATTACCTTCTACTATAATGCAATTACGGTAATTTGAATCCGAATATTTTAACTATTAGGATCAACTGATTGATAAATTAATATGGGTCAAATGTGAACACGTATTATAGAGTTTTGGATACTTCGCATTCAATACTATATGGGTTCTTTCACATCAAATCGGAGTTTAGAGACGATCTAACGGAAATTGAGATTTTTATTGGATTGTATTCGCAAGTGTGCGATTTATTCGTAGTAAAAATTTTAGCATGTGTTGACATATTATAATTTGGTACAGTTCTATACGCAGTAATATTTGCGTACGATGATTTTCTGTTCTAATTTTAGATTACTGCATGATCCGTTATCAGTATTACAATCCTGCAGTCTGCTGCATTACTATCATAATATTTAAAATTAAAGAAACCGATAAATTAATAGGTATATAGCTATTTATATACATAGTACTAGTATAATAATCTAGTTAATTTGAATCCGAATTTTCATTATTTTCATTTGGAGCAAAACATAACTCATCTTTATATGGGTCGTGTATATATGGACGAATATCTTTAAATAATTGTATCTGACGTTTTAAAGATATAGGTTTTAAAGAAATCATGGTTAAAGGTTTGTATGGATCAAAAGAAAGATTATTATGAATTATAGCTTCTTTTTTTGACCCATTAGCTTCTAATGTCATAAAAACCTTTTCAGGTTGACTATGATAAAAATAAAAATGTTGATATATTCATATATCATTACATTTAATAAAGTAAGGATTAAAAAATATTTCAAAAATCATAGTAATTCCATTCTACCTTATTTTCTTTATTGTATCTAACTGCTATATTACTTTCATCTTTTTTTGATTGATTAATAATAGCTTCAATATAATCCATACTCATTACAGTTGATTTACAATAAAGTGATTTAATTGTTTCAAAATATGCATCATATATGAATTTAGTATAGTCAGGAACTATAAAATTAATTTTAACTATGTTAAAAAGTCTAATTATAATAAGTTATAACTAAAATTACAAGTTAAAGTTATTTTTGTTTTGGCTTCCACAGTTGTTACAAGTAACTTTAAGATTTTTTTGTGATGAATTCTAATGGAGCAAACTATTATATATGAGATTTAGGGTAGTGTTGGCACTTTTAGGCATTTTAATTAGAAATTGATGTTTACTAATTAAATAGTTTCATTGTGTTGTAGGTTCCAAACTCATATTAGTAATTCCAAAAAGATGAATATTAAATGGAGATTTAAAAAACAAACCTCTCAGTTGTTGTAGTAAGTAGAGAATTAGTATATTTTGAGCCTAGTCATAGCAAATATATAGAATATTAAATCTTAATTGTTTACTAATTTCTATATTTTCATTATAATACTGATATTTGATAGTTGTAGCTATCTGATAAAGGTCATATTCTGCTTGAAATTTTTGTTTACTTTCAATATTATCAGTAGTATAAATACTAGTATAAAGTTGTTCATATTTGTTATACAAATTAGATACTTTAGGTATAAACTGAATATCAGATACAATTTTATTCTAAACTTAATAAAATATAGAAAGAGTTATAACTTTATAATCCTTATTCTTAATAGATTTAAGTATAGTTATATATTCTTCATATACTTTAGTATACATTGTATTTGTTAGAAGTGAAATAACAGATGTAATACTTTTTCTTATATATCAATCTAGTAATAGATATCTGTAAATATTAGCATAATTTTGAAGAAAATTATTAAGCTCTTGTTTTGTTTGATTATTAATAGTAGCATGATCAGTTCTAATAAATATTTATTCTATATTGTAATAAGTTATTTTTGTTATTCTATTATTTCTAATATGAGCTTTAATTTGATCAAGTTATAAAGAAGAAATTCTAATTAATACTAAATAGGTAGATAAGTATATATTATATTGAGTATTATAGCAATATTAATATTTTATATAGTTATTTGTTGTAGAGTTACTTAGTTCTTGTAAATTTTTTTGATTAAGTAATTTATTATAAGTAAATAATACAAACTGTCTCTGAATTCAAGTATTTAAATTATCATAAAACATATTATAGTATTCTTCTTATCATTAAAAAATTAGCAAAAGCCTATTTTTTCAAAACAGAATTTGTTTTTTTTTTTACTTTTTCTATAGATACATTCATTTTTTTGTTAAAATTTCTATAATTTCTGAATATACTAACAAATAAGATTATTAGTTTTATTATATTCTTTTAAATTTAATTCAGTAAAAAAAGAAGTAAGATTAGGTTTGGTGATCTTAGTGTAGTGGTTAGGTTGCCAGACTGCCATACAAGAGGTCTGGAGTTCAAATTCTACTATTAACGAATTTGAATTTATCTAGCCTTTGTACTCAACTTATATAAACTCTGCCTGTTTCTGGGGTTACAACCCTATAAATTATATTGCACCAATATTAATTGGATATTGAAAGTGTGATACAATGCTCGAGTTATATTACGTGAATAAATCTTGATAGGATCTATAAGCAGGGAATCTGCATAGTAAAAATCTTAAGTTTGGTAAAGTAGTACAGATTTCGATGGTCAAGCCAGTTAACGCCTAATCCAGTGAAAAACCTAAGTACAAAGAATATAGATCAATAGGTGTGAATAAGTCTGCTGTATAATGCAACCTGGCGCCTTGCATTAGCAGCAACACCAACTTGGCTTGGTAGCTAACTAGATTGGGAGGATCTACCTCATGAAACATCTAGCTAAAACTTGGAGGACTATATTTGGTAGATGGCCATGGCAAGAATTAGGTTTGTA